GAGGGGGATTCTAAAGGCAGGTATTTTACCTTATATTTTGTTTCAACTTATTGGCATGTCACCCTCTATCAGCCTAACAGCGAAGATGGGTACATGTGGACATGACTGTCAAAAATCAGGTGTATAGTTGCCTCGAAGGATTTAGAGGGCTATGCGTTCACCTGATGTAAACAGACTAGTTTGCAAAAACACAGAACAAAAACAAATATTTTACGTGTGTGGACACCTAACAAGACGATAAAAAAGTCAAGGTAAAAAAAAAGGTCCAACGAAAATATCTAAACTGCTACTATTTTAGTCCCTTGAAAACATTAAGAAAGGTAGTATTTCTGATCTCGAAAATGTTGTGAGCATATTTTTATGTTTGGACCACCTTCAACTGTAGATACCAGCTCAATTAGACAGTGTTACATTTTAGTATCATGCTGTATTAAACACATGGCACGCTGGCATGCACGCATACACACACGCTCGGACGCAGGCGTGCACGCACTCCCCAAGAGGGTAAAGCACACACACACCCTTATGGGATATACGTGGTGTGGAAATTTTTGTTGGGAGCCTGATAACCAGGGTTGTCGTACATCTGCTGTTGATGAGGCTCCGACATGTAGGCCGTGGAAGACCTTGTCTGCATCATCTGCTGTGGGGGAGGGATTGGGGGGGGGGTCGTTTTGTTTGTTTTAGTAGAGGTTTTACGGCGCTCGCAATTGCATATTAATGTCATATGAGAGCCAGAAGATAAGAGGTTTACAAGAGAGTAACAAACATAAAAAAGAAGGAGGGGAGATAAGGACGATAGATTTTTGATAGGACAGAAGAAGCAAACCACACCAGAGCACCCGCCAAACACCCACGGAGAAAATCGGGACGTAAACCCACAATGCATCATGGGACATGTGACAGAGCAAGGATCTCTATGGTGGTGGAAGGGAGTAGGCCTAATGGGTGGTTAAGACTAAGAGCATTGCAAAAATTTTACACCCTTTCTCTTTTTCTTTCTCATTCTCTCCCCCCCCCT